AAGAAGGCTTCTTAGATTGAAATTAATGACCATAGTGGAGTCCCCCCACCTCACCCCGATAGAATTAACGTCTGTGGCCACGTCAAGCCTACAAACTGAAGGAAATTGGATCGCATTTAAACTGGAGGCCGAGGGTATTGTCATAGTCCTAGGCAGAATACTTCTCAAGCTTTCGAGCCATGTATTTGGAGGGAATTCGTCAGGTCCCCATTCTTTCATTGCAGCGATATCGATGAATATAACTACATTATTATTTCTCTTAGAAGCCTGTTCTAGTGATAGGGTTTTTATTCTAATTTAATTTTCAAATATATCAGTCAGTGTTCCATGAAAAGTTGGTGCCAGTTTGTGCTGTTAACATCTGCTTGCATTTTACTAATAATCCCACATGTTTCGCAACGTTGTTTCTCCAATTAAATTTTCTGAGGCTTCCCCTATTTTCATAGTTCACTCTTGCTTTTATTTGAGTGTCTCTTTTTTTCCTGTACATTAGAATGAAATAAATATCTACCATAAAACTTCTACGGTTAGAAGGAAACGATGCTGCAAATATTCACAAGAGATTTAATGTCGAAGGCCAAAAATAAAAGATGTTCATGCAAAAGACGAGGAACAATAAAAGAACAAGGAGATGACAAAGGCGAACGAGAAGAAGAAGGAGAAAGGAAAAAAAGAGGTAGTAAAAAAAAAGACAAGATCAAGAAGAAGAAGAAGAAGAAGAAGAAGAAAAAGAGATAAAACAGAAAGAAGGCAAGGAAAAAAACAAGAGAATGAAGAATGAGAACAAGGACAAGAAGAGACTAAAAAGAAGAAAAGTAGCACATAAAAAAAGAAGATGAAAAAGGACGAGACCTAGAAGAAGAAGAAGAGGAAGAAGAAAAAGAAAAGAAGAGCATGAACGATAAATGACAAGATATGAATTATAAAAGATAGGACGAAGAAAGGATCAAAAGCAAGAAACGATCAAAACAACAAAACAAAGAGGACAAATGTGAACAAGAAAAAGACCATGAAAGACTTGAAGAAGACAAAGAGGATGAAGAAAGTAACATTAACAAGAATAGATTAAAAATAGAGCAAGGACAAGACTAAGAAAAAGGACTAGAAGAAAAGACCAAAAGAAGAAGAAGAAGAAAAGAAGAAGAAGAGGAGACCAAAATAAGAATAGGAAGAAAAGAAGACCAAAAGACGAAGAAGAAGAAGAAGAAGAAGAAGAAGAAGAAGAAGAAGAAGAATAGATCAGAAATAAGAGAGAGAACAAGAACAATTAGATAAAAAGAAAAACAAAACAATAAGAAATAGAAGAAGAAGAAGAAATCAGAGCCGGAAAAGGAGAAGTAGGAGAAAAAAGAGAAAAGACCAAAATAATAATAATAAGAATAAAAGAAGAAGAAGAAGAAGAAGAGACCGAAAGAAGAAGAAGAAGAAGAAGAGACCGAAAGAAGAAGAAGAAGAAGAAGAAGAAGAAGAAGAAGAAGAAGAAGAAGAAATCGGAACCGGAAAAGAAGAAGTAGGAGAAAAAAGAGAAAAGACCAAAATAATAATAAGAAGAATAAAAGAAGAAGAAGAAGAAGAAGAAGAAGAAGAAGAGACCGAAAGAAGAAGAAGAAGAAGAAGAAGAAGAAGAGACCGAAAGAGGAAGAAGAAGAAGAAGAAGAAGAAGAAGAAGAAGAAGAAGAAATCGGAGCCGGAAAAGAAGAAGTAGGAGAAAAAAGAGAAAAGACCAAAATAATAAGAAGAAGAATAAAAGAAGAAGAAGAAATCGGAGCCGGAAAAGAAGAAGTAGGAGAAAAAAGAGAAAAGACCAAAATAATAAGAAGAAGAATAAAAGAAGAAGAAGAAGAAGAAGAGACCGAAAGAAGAAGAAGAAGAAGAAGAAGAAGAGACCGAAAGAAGAAGAAGAAGAAGAAGAGACCGAAAGAAGAAGAAGAAGAAGAAGAAGAAGAAGAAATCGGAGCCGGAAAAGAAGAAGTAGGAGAAAAAAGAGAAAAGACCAAAATAATAAGAAGAAGAATAAAAGAAGAAGAAGAAGAAGAGACCGAAAGAAGAAGAAGAAGAAGAGACCGAAAGAAGAAGAAGAAGAAGAAGAAGAAGAAGAAGAAGAAGAAGAAGAAGAAGAAGAAGAAATCGGAGCCGGAAAAGAAGAAGTAGGAGAAAAAAGAGAAAAGACCAAAATAATAATAAGAAGAATAAAAGAAGAAGAAGAAGAAGAAGAAGAAGAAGAAGAAGAAGAGACCGAAAGAAGAAGAAGAAGAAGAGACCGAAAGAAGAAGAAGAAGAAGAAGAAGAAGAAGAAGAAGAAGAAGAAGAAGAAGAAGAAGAAGAAGAAGAAATCGGAGCCGGAAAAGAAGAAGTAGGAGAAAAAAGAGAAAAGACCAAAATAATAAGAAGAAGAATAAAAGAAGAAGAAAAAGAAGAAGAAGAAGAGACCGAAAGAAGAAGAAGAAGAAGAGACCGAAAGAAGAAGAAGAAGAAGAGACCGAAAGAAGAAGAAGAAGAAGAAGAAGAAGAAGAAGAGACCGAAAGAAGAAGAAGAAGAAGAAAGAAGAAGAAAGAAGAAGAAGAAGAAGAAGAAGAAGAAGAAGAAGAAGAAAAATCGGAGCCGGAAAAGAAGAAGTAGGAGAAAAAAGAAAAGACCAAAATAATAAGAAGAAGAATAAAAGAAGAAGAAGAAATCGGAGCCGGAAAAGAAGAAGTAGGAGAAAAAAGAGAAAAGACCAAAATAATAATAATAATAAGAGACCGAAAGAAGAAGAAGAAGAAGAAGAAGAAGAAGAAGAAGAAGAAAAAGAACAAGAACAAGAACAAGAACAAGAAAAAATCGAAGCCGGAAAAGGAGAAGTAGGAGAAAAAAGAGAAAAGACCAAAATAATAATAATAATAAGAGACCGAAAGAAGAAGAAGAAGAAGAAGAAGAAGAAGAAGAAGAAGAAGAAGAAGAAGAAGAAGAAAAAGAACAAGAACAAGAACAAGAACAAGAAGAAATCGAAGCCGGAAAAGGAGAAGTAGGAGAAAAAAGAGAAATGACCAAAATAATAATAAGAAGAAGAAAAAAAGAAGAAGAGACCGAAAGAAGAAGAAGAAGAAGAAGAAGAAGAAGAAGAAGAAGAAGAAGAAGAAGAAGAAGAAGAAATAGGAGTCGGAAAAGAAGAAGTAGGAGAAAAATGAGAAAAGAACAAACCTAGATAGGACAAGACTTCGAAGGAGTGAAGAATAAACAAACGTCCCAAATGTAGCTGACAAGAATAAGAACAAAAATGGCAGAAATGGCTAAGGATACAAAGAGACCAAGAAAAAGAAGAAAAGTAGGAATAAAGATAAAGAAGCAAAAAGAAGAACAAGAAAGAGCAAAAAGAAAGCGATGAAGAAGTAAACGAAGAAATAAAGAAGAATTACATGGGCAAGAACAAGAAAAGACAAAGGAAGATATAAAAGAAGAACAAGACGAAGGTGAACAAGAACAAGTGTAGAGAAAGAGGAATAAAAGAAAAAGAAGGTACGCACGAGCAAGAAAAGAGAAATAAATGATAGATGAGGAGGAGAATGATATAAAAGAAGAAAATGGACAAGAAAAAAAAAGAAGATAAACAAGAGAATGAAAAGAAGAATAAGAAAGAGAAGCCAAAGAAGAAGTAGAAGAAAATAAATAAGATTAAAAAAAAGAAGAAAAAAAAAGTAAACAAGAAAAAAACAAACGTACAATAAGATGAAGAAGAAAAGAAGAAGAATTAAAGAATATTAATAAGAAAGTAGAAAAGGAATAAAAAAAGAAGGATGTGAACAAGGGAAAAATGTAAAAGATCAAGAAGAACAAAGGAAATATACCAGAACATTATACAGAAGTGGAACGATTTGAAATATTCAATACAAAAATACAATACGCAGGTGAAAAGATCATTAAAAAAGAAATACAAGATTTAAAAAAAAACATCAAATGAATAAAACCAACGAAAACAAATTTCGGAGACAAACGTGTTCTTTGAACTAAAAACAATAAGTAAGTTCTAGTTAGATAAAAAATGTAAATGCAATGATTGCAATACAAAAAAGGCCAAAAAAAACACTCAAATAAAAGCAAGAGTGAAGTGTGAAAATAGGGAAAGTCACAGAAAGTTTAATTGGAGAAACAACGTTGCGAAACATGTGACAGAATCTGCTAAAGAATTGAATCAGATACAAAACAGAACGAAAAATATGCCGAAGAAATATTAAAAAAAACAGTATGGCAAAGAAAGAGGGCAGATCGAGGCAAGCATAACTATTCAAGAGGAGAATGAAAAGAAAGACTCAAATATTAAAGCAAGAACAACATGATAAAATAATCCAACAAGAACATGTACGAATAGCAAGAATTCAGACGGAAAGAAATGTCTAAAATCAATTAAAATGGACGGCAGAAGCTTTGAATGATGAAATAAAGAAAAATAACGACAAAAGCTAAGAAGTAAGAGGCAAATACAGAGAGAAAAATGGATCAGGATGTGGTGTTGTATGATTTGCAAGAGAAAATTTTATTATTCATGTGTTTTGAAATTTTCTGTTTCTCACTTCAAGGGAGAATGATGACGTCACAATTTTTTTTTTAACCGTTGGTGAAGTCGAACATCCGAGAATGCAGTTTGTAACAGTTTAAAAATTGGAAGCGGCTGAAATCAAGCTTTATACATAATTAAAGATGCGAGCAAAGGAATACGAATGGGAAACCGATTAAGTTTAAAAACGAACAGCGAGGATTGAAAGGGAAGGATATCGTTAACGATGGAGAAAATGGGATGTAAAATAAAAGATTAAGAAGAAGAAAAGCATGGGATAAAATAAAGGAAAAAAAACAATGAAGTACTGGCGGTGATGGTGGGGAGGAATAGAACTTCGGAGTTCGAAACACAACCAGGTATGTGAATAAATGAAGAAAATGAAGGAAAATTTAGGATTAGATATTATGTATAAAAAAATATATATATATATATATATATATATATATATATATATATATATATATATCAAAGTGAAAGAAACGAATAAAAGTTAAACGTTTCAGAAAGAAACAAAGACATACCTGGAGGAAAATGAAAAGGAAAAGAAAAAAAAAGTAACAAAAGTAGAAGAGAAAGGAAAGTAGAAAATAAAAAAAAGTAAAGATAAATGGAAGAGAATTTAAGAAAGAAATTCGAAAAGAGAGAAAGGAAGGCAAAAGAAAGAAAGAAAGAAAGAAAGAAAGAAAGAAAGAAAGAAAAAAAAGTAAGAAAGAAAGAAAGAAAAAAAGAAAGAAAGAAAGAAAGAAATACAGTATGTATCAAACAGAAAGAAATAAACAGACGAGAATATATACTGAGATAAAAATTTAAGAAAGAAACAAGGAAATGCCTCGAGGAAAATGGGAAAGACAAAAAGGAACAGAAACAAAAGTGGAAGAAAAAGGAAAGTGGAAAACAAAGAAAGAAGGAAAGAAAAGTTGAAGAGAAATTAACAAAGACAGACAGAAAGAAAGAAAGAAAGAAAGAAAGAAAGAAAGAAAGAAAGAAAGAAAGGTAATAGAAAAAAAGAATGAAAGAAAAAGAAAGTGGAAAGGAAAGAAGAAAGAAAGAAAGAAAGAAAGAAGGGAGGAAAGTAGGAAATAAGAAATAAAGAAAGGAAAAAGAAAGAAAAACAGAAAGTGGAAAATGAGTAGACAATGAAAGAAAAGTGGAAAAGAAAGAAAGTTTAAAAGAAAGAAAGAAAGAAAGAAAGAAAGAAAGATGAAAAGAAACAACGAAAGAAAACGGAAAGTAACAAAAAAAGGAACAAAAAATGGAAAAGAAATTAAGAAATAAAGGAAGATATTGGAAGATAAGTAAAACGAGAAAGTGGAATAGAAAATTGAAAATAAAGAAAGATAGTGGAAAAGAAAGATAGAAAGAAAATGTTATGGTCCGGTTCCTTGTACCACGGTGATAGTCCAAGGTAGAACCAATAAAGAACTCGAACACGGATATGGAATAACACAGATATATTACAAACAGGAATATATACAGAGAAGTACAAAGTGTTAGTACGAACAATCAGGTTTACTAGGGAGAACAATGTAGTCTCGACCAGTATCACTATTCCAATGACTTGTAGTAATTGTCTGAACGCGACGCTGTTTCGGACTGCCTCTGACTCGACTCTTGATTCTACTGACTCGCTCTGACTGACTGACAGACTCCTGACGGACCTCACTCCAGACTTCAGACTGAACAGTATTCAGTCACCCCCCACGAGGGCATCATGTGGCACAAGGCCGGCTTAACGTGGGATCTCCGAGCCCGTGGGCTCGGCCAAAAATATGCTCTTTGAACCCGTATAAACGGGTTCAGTGTCGGTTTACCTGCCCGAAAGAGAATCCGCCCTTCGGCGTAGCCTCGTTCGGGTTCCTCCCCTCCCGAAGGCAGAGAGTTCAGCCAATCAGCCGGTCTCCCGACTTCAGATTGAACGATATCTAGTCACACTCCCCCCTATGAGGGCATCATGTGGCATAAGGCCGGTTTAACGTGGGATCTTCGAATATGCCCTTTTAACCCTTATAAACGGGTTAAAGGTCGATTTACCTGCCCGAAAGTGACTCCGCCCTTCGGCGTAGCCTCGTTAGGGTTCCTCCCCGCCCGAAGGCAGAGAGTTCAACCGATCAGCCGGTCAGCCGGTCGCCCGACTTCAGACGGAAACTCCCTGCTTCCTCTTGAGGCGCAGTATTTATTACGTATGGAATAGTCCATTATGTTATCATGGGTAAAGTCCCATAACAGAAAGAAAGAAAGAGGAGTGGAAAAAATTAAGAAAGCAAATAGAAATAATGAAAGAATGTGGAAACAATGAAAGAATGATCAAAAGATAGAAGGATAAATAGAGAGGTAAGAAAGAATGAAAGAAAAAAAGAAAAGTGGAAAAGAAAAGGTTAAAACTGAGAGAATGAAATGTATGGTGGAAGAATACCTGAGAGAAAAAAGGGAAAGAATGTATGAAAGAATATTGAGAAGAATAAATGAAATTCGGAGAGTAAGAATTTTAAAATATACGAAAAACAAAGAAATGATAATCGGAAAAAGAAAGAAAAATAATGAAAAAAGATTTGAGTAAAGAACAGTTAAATTAAATGTAATCGTCTTTTCTACTCCCATAGCTTCTTATCTCGCATTTCCCGGCAGAAGAACTCCCTTCCTCTTACTTGCTTCCCTGATAGCTATAATCTTCAAATATTCAAATGTAATGTCAAATTAATGGATTTGACTGGAAATCGAACCCGGCGTCACGGTGGAGTAATGCATAGCGGCTGGGATTGAAGAATCGGTGGATCGAGTTCGAATGTAATGAGGAAAAGTGAATCTACTGCGGGAATAATCTGCCTCGGCAGTCATGTATCGAAAGATACATAATCACCTAAGCGTATACTCACACATAGCGGAAAGTTAATCTCCGTTTCGATTCGGTGGAACCAGTGATTGTACAGCTAGCCATATCTCAGACCCAAGCGTCAAGTTACAGATAACGCAGTGCTGGGAGGGGGAGTGGTCAGTGACCATTCCTACCCTTCACCAGCAGTGGTCTTGGGAGATCGGTTCTATGTCAAATTACCACCTGGAAATTACCTACAATCTGTGGATAACTGGAGAAATATATGGTTTCTTTATTTTAATACATATCAAAACGGAACTGCTCACTTTTATTCGTCCAAAAGAACCGTGCGTGCCTCTAGCATCATGGCTGGTGCTAAGTGCGAGGAGAGTGACTGAATGATCCTCCTCAGGCTATCGTTCTTCGCGGGCATGAAAGGGAAATATATTGAATCTCCTGCTATAACTGCTGACAAAAATGTTGGTTCACTGTGTCGTGCTAGACAATTTGTCTTGGCAGAATCTATCTATCTAGCATATTTAAAAGTCTACTATCAACCCATGTTGTTGTTTTCAGGCATTTTCCAAAGGTGCTGCATGCCGGGAACCCCTTTCTTCAGACCGATAACATCGTCACCTTCTTGATAATTCGACCATGGTGAGATTTAAACCCGGATCTCATGGTCAGAAAACGAAGACTTCAACACTCAGCCTTGTGAATGAAAATGGATAAACGGAACACTTGGGAGGCGTTAACGGTTTTTTAGCGCTAAGTCACAAGTCATCTTGACCGAGGGTTCCATCGTACTAGCCTTGTTCAGACTGTTGAAACCTTAAAGAGGCGAGCAAAGGAATACGAATGGGAAACGGATTAAGTTTAAAAACGAACAGTGCGGATTGAAAGAGAAGGATATCGTTAACGATGGAGAAAACGGGATGGAAAATAAAAGATTACGAAGAAGAAGAAAAGCGTGGGATAAAATAAAGGAAAAAACAATGAAGTACTGGCTGTGATGGTGGGGGAGGAATAGAACTTTGGAGTTCGAAACTCAACCAGGTATGTGAATAAATGAAGAAAATGAAGGAAAATTTAATCTCCAAAACCACACTCAGCACTTTGGAGATTGAAGCCCTTAGTTTTGGTCTAAAGTTTGCAACTGGTTCAAAAGATCACAATATTAGCAAACTGATAAATATAAACTACAAACATAGTGATTCTGACTTCCTTAAAGGTTTTACCCAAGGCATTTTAGCTGCCTCTTTTAATGGCCAAAATATGGAATTCAATTTACCTAAGAGGTATATGAATGCCTTAAAATCCTTGTCTATGAATAATAACATTATTATATCTCCTTCTGATAAAGGAGGCGGTGTTGTTGTCATGGATACCATTGCTTACAACCAGAAAATGTTGGACTTGCTTAATGACAGAGACACTTATGAACAGATCACCTCTATACAAATTTCTAAGAATCTAAAAAAGAATTTAATAGGTCCTATAAGAAACTCATATGTAATGAAGATAAGATTTGGCTTTCCTTATTAACTACCACCCGACCGTCCCTAAAATTTATGGCCTCCCCAAAACCCATAAGCTTAACATTCCATTAAGGCCCATCATCTCAGGTATAGGCTCAGCTCCTCATAATATCGCTAGGTATTTAACTAAATTTCTAACTCCAATTCTGGGCACCGTAAGTAACACACATATAAAGAATTCAGGCTCTCTTTTAAAATAAGTTGAGAAATATTGATATAGATAACAAATTACTAGCTAGCTTAGACATCAAATCTTTATATACTAATATACCTGTTGATAAATGCATTAAACAATTAGAGAACCACCTTAAGAAAATTGACTTTAAGCTACCTATCTCTATCTCGAAATGCATCAAATTATGCATCCTTTGCACTTCACATTGTTTCTTCCAATATAATAATATTTATTATAAACAAAAATTTGGTTTACCGATGGGGAGTCCTCTCTGGATTCCTAGCATGCATATTTCTAGAATTTCTTGAATCTGGACCTTTTAAAGATGTCATTCCACCTGATACACATTATTTTCGATACATCGATGACATTTTATTTATCTACCCACATAAGCATGATTTAAACGAGATTACTGATAGATTAAATAGAATAGAACCTACTATTGAATTTACCTATGAACTTGAATCTAATAATTCCTTACCTTTTTTAGACATATTACTCATTAAAAATAAAAATAAATTATAATTCAAAGTATATCGAAAACCTACATGTAAAATGACTATTTACATTTTTTACTCTCACCATGATACTAACACTAAGAGGGGTATTGTTATTGGATTCTATTTGAGGGCTCTTCGCATCTGTTCATCAAAATATTTAAATGATGAATTTACATATATTGAGGATACCTTTTCAAATCTTTCGTATCCGAGACAATTATTACAGAGAGCTAAAAATAAAGCGTTGAAAATTCACTCATCAGCGCAAAATGACACCTCAAAGGCCACTACAACTAGATCAATGAAAGATACAATTTCAGCTACCTCTGATAATATTTCGTTTGGTCGCATCTTTTACCAAATAACCATTTGACCGAACGTATCTCTCATAATCTAAATGCATTAAAAATTAGAACTACTATATTACCTATTAGGACTATCCGTAGTTTATTAAATAGCACCAGCAGACAACATATTACATCCGATGCTTGCATCTATCAAATATCATGCAAAAATTGTGACCTAAAATATGTGGGTGAAACAGGTAGGTCCTTAAAATCTCGTGTTTTCGAACATAAACGAGATATTCGTCTCGGTAATTTTAACAATGCTTTAGTTGTACACACAACTAAAGCAGATCATAATTTCGATTTCGATTCCGTGAAAGTATTAAAATATTTTCATAATAAAAATCTCAGGAGGATTTATGAAGCAGGTATAATATCCATCTCACGCACGGTGAATACTAGACCTGGTTTCTTTAATATTTCCCCTTTTTTAGCGAGATTGATGCTCGACAAGCATACACATAAGAATTTTAGAACCTAATAGAATTCTTTTCATTTTCTTTTTCTTTTTCATTTCAAAATAATCACAAACTTTTAGGAATACGTTATGAAAGCGTCGCCCATGTGACGACAGCGTGACCATGTTAGACGGAAGGCTGATCATTTTAAAAATTTTCAGTTATCTGTTCTGAATAAGACTTGTGTTTTATGTCCATCGTATTTGTCATATTGAACTGAATTGTATTTTGATGAATATTGTCTTGAAAAAGGTTTAATAAACCGAAACGTCAGACGTCGACATTTCTTTCATTTAACTACATCTAAGGATTTTTGTTTGTTTTTTCAAAATTTCTTCATTCTGTCGGATTTATATCCATTTACACTTGCTTATATATATATATATATATATATATATATATATATATATATATATATATATATATATATATCAAAGTGAAAGAAAGAAACGAATAAAGAGGTAAACGTTTCAGAAAGAAACAGAGACATACCTGGAGGAAAATGAATAAGGAAAAAGGAAAAGTAACAAAAGTAGAAGAGAAAGGAAAGTAGAAAATTAAAAAAAACTGAAGAAAAAACTTCCAGAAACTGTAAGTAATATTCGCTTAGCATAGTTGCAGTATCAACCACAGATGGGCTTTGTAGGTGATCAACAAACACAAATGTGCCTGAGAAAGCGTTTAATTATCTATCCGCCCTAGTAGACATGCATCTTCAGATTCGAGTAGCTATGCCATGTATTGAAAATTGTAGTCACTTCTGGTATATTGCTTCTGCTATCTACTTAGAGATTATTTAAAAATTAGTAATTGTGATCTGCAATGGTTTCAGATCTGTCACCTCGGCTACACTAATTTTCCCACCGCTATAAAAGAGCTCCACTGCTCCATTTCTATAAATATTTTCTTGTTAATTGTTCTGAGGAAGTTTTAGTACCTTGATTTTTACGAATTTACGCGCAGTACTATATTAGCAGCAATGTCTAATTAATTTCTAGTTGAAATGGCTAGATGACAACGTAATTATATGCTAAAATATTCTTCTTTCTCATTTATTACTCGCGGAACTCTCTTACGGCTTCTTGCTTTCCAGCCAAATTAAATTAAAAATAATTAAATGCAATATCAATCGTTAACTTTTGTCTTGTTAATTCCCTTTGTTTTATTCTTCTTTTTCTCCTTCATAATGATTTTCTTTTTTTCTTTTTTTTTTCTTCATATTCTCCAACATTCGTCATTGGATTTACTGCCTTGGTTAGGGCGATATGATTAAAAAAAAATAAAAATAAAAGATCTGCTGTAAGTCTGTTGAAAATCGTAGACTCATAGCAACAACAAAAATGGATACGCCCAATGGTGGAATCCTAGTGGTTTGCACTGGTTCACACGAAACAATTCTTAAAATTATAACATCCAGGCGAACAGTTTGTTCGATTATCCGAAAATAATCTCATATATGGTCTAGATAAAATATTAGTTACGATAGGCTCGTGCGGGTGCCTAGAGAAAATCTACGAGACACATGCACCCTACTACAACAATAAACAGCAGGCAGCGGGGAAAGAAAAAATAAAGTAAATGTAAAAGAAATACAGAGATATAAGTGTAGTTGTGTAGAAAAATTAGGCGAAAGAGAGAGAGAGAGAGAGAGAGTGATCTTTGGGAGTGAAGCGTCTCAGTTCGAATGTGGCTAATAAAACATAACACAGCTGATACTAGAATTATACATCTTAACAGAAATATGAGAAAAGCAGGATGTCAATTTGGAAATATCTTAATAAATAAATGTTTTCTATTAAATTATGACAATAGTTTAATATTTTTTAAGACTATAAATAAATTTGTTTCCATTCTCAGATTGAAAAGAATATAAACAGAATAGGTTCCTAACGATTACATGCCTTTACACAAACGATTCCTGGAAATTTGGGAGACCATTATTGGATACATCTGTATAATAAATATATGATTGTGTAAATCAGATGATTAACACATCTGTATTAATGGATGATTATCCATGCTTGCTTTAGTAGGATATATCCTATGTTTGTTTATCGTTAGCTTAAATATTATAAACCATGTATGCAGATGTGCAGATGTGTGGATATCCTTTATTGTCGTGTGATGTGAAAAGGGTGAATCGCGTTCAAGATCTGGCTTAGTTATTTTTGTTATCTTCTTGGGAAAGTCATGAAACCATGTCTTTATTTAGACATGTAGTGTAGCCATGCAGGATTATTTTAATTATTGAAACAGGGAAAAAGTAAAAAAAAAGAAAAGAAAAACAACAAAAAACTACATGACCACCACAGAAAGACACGTGAAAATTTCGTGAAAATTTTTTCGCGGTTTTCCTATTTAAATTTTCTGATGTTAACTCTTAAGTTAATGAATGAATAAGATCTTGGGGAGTTCTACGACAATCAAATATCCGTAGAAGTGGGTAGAAATGAAACAATTTGAAATTGAGAACTTTTCCATTTCAATGAAACAGCCGGTAAACATTTTCATCTGTTCGACGTTATTTTCTTTCTTTTACTGAAACCAAACCGTGTCTTTTCGTCTCTTTCCACGTGATCAAAAGTGAATAGTCCTTTATTTATGCGGTATTGGCAAGAGACGTTAAACATTTTTATCTTCTTTATTCATTTATTTATTTCAAGCCAAATCCCCGTCTTACGGACATTTCTATTAATAATAATTATGAAGTAATTCAGCAGACAATGTTATCTAATGTAAATTACGTTAATTAGATTTTCGCCTCTACATCTGAAAAAATGCTCGATTTTCGGGGTCGCCATCGTCTCGGCCTTTTTTGCTGGGATCAATGTGTAGTATCTGTTCCTATCAGCTATATCTGATGCTCTCGCTCCACTTCTATCTTCTTTTCCTTCTGCTTTATTTCATTTTCTAACTGGAACCAAGTAATGTATTTTCCTCTCTTTCCGCGCGATCAAAACGCGGAATAATCCATTATTTATAAGATGTTGGCAGGGCGTTGTGTGTTCTAACGAAGATCGGGACAAACACAATTATAACAGGATAAATAAATAGAATGGATACACCCTGAATGGATATGGCATTAAAACATATACAGCACGCCGTTTTGATGCTACCTCAATACCCCTGTTTAGGAACACAAACACAGTGCGTCATCCCCCAGTCGACAGGGCCACCGATGCAAATGAAAATCAAATCGACTGTAGCTCGACTTAATTCACTAAAACAGAACATGCTTGTGTTAACACTTCCAATGCGTGAAAATTGGAAGACACGACTACCAATGCATTGGTTTCCTGCCATTATACAATTAAGATTTTCTTCAACATCGACCCAATTGTTGAATGTCGGAAATGCATCCCATGAGACTAGGACTAACCACCCAGACCCGCGGTAGCAACGCCTATTTGAGTGCCAGCTATAGGCAATAGTGAATACTTAAACAAAAATTAACAGTACATTTTTATAATAAAATGAGCAGCAATACAATTTTATAGCTAAATGACAATGCAATACTAAAAATATATAAACGTCCATTTTTATAGTAAAATTACCAATAACACATTTCAAGATCTACAAAATATATATAAAAAAAATTTACCTTTCCTCTGAAAATATGAAATTATGTACAATATATCTGTACTTGAAAACATAAAATTACGTACACAATATTTCTATTTGTATGGGATATATATATATATATATATATATATATATATATATATATATATATATATATATATATATAACTAGACTCGTTTCGAAAACCCTCGAATTTTTTGATTTGCTAATCAAATCAATCTCGAGGGAAAAAAGGTTTTAAAAAAGAAAGAGCTACAAACATGATGAACTTCTGCCAACAAAAAAAATCGCACAGATGCAGGTCTGAAGCCCAAAGAAAAAAACCCGATACGAGTAACAACTAACTAACAAAAGAGCTCAATACAACCGTAGAGCAGACCTAGATACACCTAGTGAGCCAGACAAACCTACCTAGGTTTCACCTAAACGGATCGTCAGGGAAAGTTTGGCTAGGTAGTTAGGTAGGTTTGTCTGGCTCACTAGGTGTGTGTATATATATATATATATATATAAACTCACGGAGGTTGATATACCACTAAAGAAATTCAACCAACCAAAAATACATATTTATAGTAAAATTACGAAACATAACTATTTATAGTAAACCTACCAATAATATATATATACAAAAGCAAAATGACCAAAAGTATATTTTTTCTGTAGTTGAAGGCATACAGTTGGGTCTGAAATATTTAATTGAAGAAATAATATTGTGTTCAAAATATGTAAATTTCGATATTCAATAACCAATAGAGGTTGATATACCGCAAAACAAAATCCACAAACCATCTACCTTACCTTTGATATGTGTCATGTTTGAAAATTCTTCGTTGAATGAAGTGCATTTCGACTTGCTTCATCTACGAGAGTGAGCTGAAAGATTCATAGGTTGACTATAGGGATGGTAGATCTGTTAAATCATGCTTGCACTAATTTCAACTCTTATTAATAATTGCATTGTTCC